CCTCGCTCCTGTCACCTGTGCTCCCTCGCTCACCTGTGCTCCCTCGCTCACCTGTGCTCCCTCGCTCACCTGTGCTCCCTCGCTCACCTGTGCTCCCTCGCTCACCTGTGCTCCCTCGCTCACCTGTGCTCCCTCGCTCACCTGTGCTCCCTCGCTCACCTGTGCTCCCTCGCTCACCTGTGCTCCCTCGCTCACCTGTGCTCCCTCGCTCACCTGTGCTCCCTCGCTCACCTGTGCTCCCTCGCTCACCTGTGCCCCTCGCTCACCTGTGCTCCCTCGCTCACCTGTGCTCCCTCGCTCACCTGTGCTCCCTCGCTCACCTGTGCTCCCTCGCTCACCTGTGCTCCCTCGCTCACCTGTGCTCCCTCGCTCACCTGTGCTCCCTCGCTCACCTGTGCTCCCTCGCTCACCTGTGCTCCCTCGCTCACCTGTGCTCCCTCGCTCACCTGTGCTCCCTCGCTCACCTGTGCTCCCTCGCTCACCTGTGCTCCCTCGCTCACCTGTGCTCCCTCGCTCACCTGTGCTCCCTCGCTCACCTGTGCTCCCTCGCTCACCTGTGCTCCCTCGCTCACCTGTGCTCCCTCGCTCACCTGTGCTCCCTCGCTCACCTGTGCTCCCTCGCTCACCTGTGCTCCCTCGCTCACCTGTGCTCCCTCGCTCACCTGTGCTCCCTCGCTCACCTGTGCTCCCTCGCTCACCTGTGCTCCCTCGCTCACCTGTGCTCCCTCGCTCACCTGTGCTCCCTCGCTCACCTGTGCTCCCTCGCTCACCTGTGCTCCCTCGCTCACCTGTGCTCCCTCGCTCACCTGTGCTCCCTCGCTCACCTGTGCTCCCTCGCTCACCTGTGCTCCCTCGCTCACCTGTGCTCCCTCGCTCACCTGTGCTCCCTCGCTCACCTGTGCTCCCTCGCTCACCTGTGCTCCCTCTCTCACCTGTGCTCCCTCGCTCACCTGTGCTCCCTCGCTCACCTGTGCTCCCTCGCTCACCTGTGCTCCCTCGCTCACCTGTGCTCCCTCGCTCACCTGTGCTCCCTCGCTCACCTGTGCTCCCTCTCTCACCTGTGCTCCCTCGCTCACCTGTGCTCCCTCGCTCACCTGTGCTCCCTCGCTCACCTGTGCTCCCTCGCTCACCTGTGCTCCCTCGCTCACCTGTGCTCCCTCGCTCACCTGTGCTCCCTCTCTCACCTGTGCTCCCTCGCTCACCTGTGCTCCCTCGCTCACCTGTGCTCCCTCGCTCACCTGTGCTCCCTCGCTCACCTGTGCTCCCTCGCTCACCTGTGCTCCCTCGCTCACCTGTGCTCCCTCTCTCACCTGTGCTCCCTCGCTCACCTGTGCTCCCTCGCTCACCTGTGCTCCCTCGCTCACCTGTGCTCCCTCGCTCACCTGTGCTCCCTCGCTCACCTGTGCTCCCTCGCTCACCTGTGCTCCCTCGCTCACCTGTGCTCCCTCGCTCACCTGTGCTCCCTCGCTCACCTGTGCTCCCTCGCTCACCTGTGCTCCCTCGCTCACCTGTGCTCCCTCGCTCACCTGTGCTCCCTCGCTCACCTGTGCTCCCTCGCTCACCTGTGCTCCCTCTCTCACCTGTGCTCCCTCGCTCACTGTGCTCCCTCGCTCACCTGTGCTCCCTCGCTCACCTGTGCTCCCTCGCTCACCTGTGCTCCCTCGCTCACCTGTGCTCCCTCGCTCACCTGTGCTCCCTCGCTCACCTGTGCTCCCTCGCTCACCTGTGCTCCCTCGCTCACCTGTGCTCCCTCTCTCACCTGTGCTCCCTCGCTCACCTGTGCTCCCTCGCTCACCTGTGCTCCCTCGCCTCACCTGTGCTCCCTCGCTCACCTGTGCCCTCTCACCTGTGCTCCCTCGCTCACCTGTGCTCCCTCGCTCACCTGTGCTCCCTCGCTCACCTGTGCTCCCTCTCACCTGTGCTCCCTCTCTCACCTGTGCTCCCTCGCTCACCTGTGCTCCTCTCTCACCTGTGCTCCCTCGCTCACCTGTGCTCCCTCGCTCACCTGTGCTCCCTCGCTCACCTGTGCTCCCTCGCTCACCTGTGCTCCCTCGCTCACCTGTGCTCCCTCGCTCACCTGTGCTCCCTCGCTCACCTGTGCTCCCTCTCTCACCTGTGCTCCCTCGCTCACCTGTGCTCCCTCGCTCACCTGTGCTCCCTCGCTCACCTGTGCTCCCTCGCTCACCTGTGCTCCCTCGCTCACCTGTGCTCCCTCGCTCACCTGTGCTCCCTCGCTCACCTGTGCTCCCTCGCTCACCTGTGCTCCCTCGCTCACCTGTGCTCCCTCGCTCACCTGTGCTCCCTCGCTCACCTGTGCTCCTCGCTCACCTGTGCTCCCTCGCTCACCTGTGCTCCCTCGCTCACCTGTGCTCCCTCGCTCACCTGTGCTCCCTCGCTCACCTGTGCTCCCTCGCTCACCTGTGCTCCCTCGCTCACCTGTGCTCCCTCGCTCACCTGTGCTCCCTCGCTCACCTGTGCTCCCTCGCTCACCTGTGCTCCCTCGCTCACCTGTGCTCCCTCGCTCACCTGTGCTCCCTCGCTCTCACCTGTGCTCCCTCGCTCACCTGTGCTCCCTCGCTCACCTGTGCTCCCTCGCTCACCTGTGCTCCCTCTCACCTGTGCTCCCTCGCTCACCTGTGCTCCCTCGCTCACCTGTGCTCCCTCGCTCACCTGTGCTCCCTCTCTCACCTGTGCTCCCTCTCCCCTGTGCTCCCTCGCTCACCTGTGCTCCCTCGCTCACCTGTGCTCCTCGCTCACCTGTGCTCCTCGCTCACCTGTGCTCCCTCTCTCACCTGTGCTCCCTCGCTCACCTGTGCTCCTCGCTCACCTGTGCTCCCTCTCTCACCTGTGCTCCCTCGCTCACCTGTGCTCCCCTCGCTCACCTGTGCTCCCTCGCTCACCTGTGCTCCCTCTCTCACCTGTGCTCCCTCGCTCACCTGTGCTCCCTCGCTCACCTGTGCTCCCTCGCTCACCTGTGCTCCCTCTCTCACCTGTGCTCCCTCGCTCACCTGTGCTCCCTCGCTCACCTGTGCTCCCTCGCTCACCTGTGCTCCCTCTCTCACCTGTGCTCCCTCGCCTCACCTGTGCTCCCTCGCTCACCTGTGCTCCCTCGCTCACCTGTGCTCCCTGCTCACCTGTGCTCCCTCGCTCACCTGTGCTCCCTCGCTCACCTGTGCTCCCTCTCACCTGTGCTCCCTCGCTCACCTGTGCTCCCTCGCTCACCTGTGCTCCCTCGCTCACCTGTGCTCCCTCGCTCACCTGTGCTCCCTCGCTCACCTGTGCTCCCGCTCACCTGTGCTCCCTCGCTCACCTGTGCTCCCTCGCTCACCTGTGCTCCCTCTCTCACCTGTGGCTCCCTCTCTCACCTGTGCTCCCTCGCTCACCTGTGCTCCCTCTCACCTGTGCTCCCTCGCTCACCTGTGCTCCTTCGCTCACCTGTGCTCCCTCTCTCACCTGTGCTCCCTCTCTCACCTGTGCTCCTCTCTCACCTGTGCTCCCTCTCACCTGTGCTCCCTCTCTCACCTGTGCTCCCTCGCCTCACCTGTGCTCCCTCGCTCACCTGTGCTCCCTCGCTCACCTGTGCTCCCTCTCTCACCTGTGCTCCCTCGCTCACCTGTGCTCCCTCGCTCACCTGTGCTCCCTCGCTCACCTGTGCTCCCTCTCTCACCTGTGCTCCCTCGCTCACCTGTGCTCCCTCGCTCACCTGTGCTCCCTCGCTCACCTGTGCTCCCTCTCTCACCTGTGCTCCCTCGCTCACCTGTGCTCCTCGCTCACCTGTGCTCCCTCGCTCACCTGTGCTCCCTCGCTCACCTGTGCTCCCTCGCTCACCTGTGCTCCCTCGCTCACCTGTGCTCCCTCGCTCACCTGTGCTCCCTCGCTCACCTGTGCTCCCTCGCTCACCTGTGCTCCCTCTCTCACCTGTGCTCCCTCGCTCACCTGTGCTCCCTTGCTCACCTGTGCTCCCTCGCTCACCTGTGCTCCCTCTCTCACCTGTGCTCCCTCGCTCACCTGTGCTCCCTCGCTCACCTGTGCTCCCTCGCTCACCTGTGCTCCCTCGCTCACCTGTGCTCCCTCTCTCACCTGTGCTCCCTCGCTCACCTGTGCTCCCTCGCTCACCTGTGCTCCCTCGCTCACCTGTGCTCCCTCGCTCACCTGTGCTCCCTCGCTCACCTGTGCTCCCTCGCTCACCTGTGCTCCCTCGCTCACCTGTGCTCCCTCGCTCACCTGTGCTCCCTCTCTCACCTGTGCTCCCTCTCTCACCTGTGCTCCCTCGCTCACCTGTGCTCCCTCTCTCACCTGTGCTCCCTCGCTCACCTGTGCTCCTTCGCTCACCTGTGCTCCCTCTCTCACCTGTGCTCCCTCTCTCACCTGTGCTCCCTCTCTCACCTGTGCTCCCTCTCTCACCTGTGCTCCCTCTCTCACCTGTGCTCCCTCGCTCACCTGTGCTCCCTCGCTCACCTGTGCTCCCTCTCTCACCTGTGCTCCCTCGCTCACCTGTGCTCCCTCGCTCACCTGTGCTCCCTCGCTCACCTGTGCTCCCTCTCTCACCTGTGCTCCCTCGCTCACCTGTGCTCCCTCGCTCACCTGTGCTCCCTCGCTCACCTGTGCTCCCTCTCTCACCTGTGCTCCCTCGCTCACCTGTGCTCCCTCGCTCACCTGTGCTCCCTCTCTCACCTGTGCTCCCTCTCTCACCTGTGCTCCCTCTCTCACCTGTGCTCCCTCGCTCACCTGTGCTCCCTCTCTCACCTGTGCTCCCTCTCTCACCTGTGCTCCCTCTCTCACCTGTGCTCCCTCGCTCACCTGTGCTCCCTCGCTCACCTGTGCTCCCTCGCTCACCTGTGCTCCCTCTCTCTCCTGTGCTCCCTCTCTCACCTGTGCTCCCTCTCCTCCCTCGCCTCCCTCTCTTCCTTTACCCCCGTTTCTTCTCCTCACTATTTCTCCAAACCCCCCCCCCCCCCCCCCCTGCCTCTGCTGCCCCTGGCCATTCCCCCTGCCGGCAGTACGTGCGCGAGGAGCTCAACGTGCGCTCGGTGGTGCCGTGCGCCGACACCAGCAAGTACACCTCCGTGCGCGCCGAACCTGACTTCAGGTACGGTCCGTACCACACGCTTGGGCTGACACAAGTAATGGCGGAACCCGGCAGCAGCTACTGGTCCAAGGTAACTACAGGCAGGACTGGAAGCGCTGTGTTGCCACATGGTTGGTACTGTGATTGAATGTATGTGCCTACCCCTGCTCGTACGGGGGAGCAACAATATGTCAACAAGTAGGTTGCGAGGAGCGAGCAGTAAGTGGCCGTCGTCAAGAGTGAAGCCTGAACGTAGTCGTCGTACTTGCTTGAACAAAGGCAGGGCACATGGTGATGCCGACCTCGCTGAAGCTCGGCACACTGTCTTTCACCACTGGCTCACTGGTCTGTCCACAGTCAACCATCGTTTCATCCTCCCTCCTGGCAGCGAGGGCACGTCGTCCCACGTCTCCTTCTTACATGCGCCCCCACCTTCCTCTCTCCACCGCCCACCACCTGGCCCGCAGTGTGTTGGGGCGGCGCGTGGGCAAGGCGATGGGGGCGGTGGCGAAGGCCGTGAAGGACATGGACGCCGCCGCCATAGCGGCGCTGCAGAGCGCGGGGGAGGTCACCATCGCTGGCCACACCCTCGCTGCCTCTGACATCAAGGTGGGGTTTCAGATTGCCTTGGATGCGGGGATGGGAACAGGAGTGTGAGGATTGGGGAGTGATGTTTTTTCTGAAATGGAGGGGGTAGTTCTAGAAACGATTGCCTTTGTGGCTTTGAGATAGAGGTTGATGAGGGGGACGTATTGGATGGGAGTTGCTGCAGTTCGTGGGATGGGGGCAACTGATCTGATACAGATGGATCCTCTCTTCGTATGCCCTGATGATCAGATCGTTCTCTCTTCGTATGCCCTGATGATCAGATCGTTCTCTCTTCGTATGCCCTGATGATCAGATCGTTCTCTCTTCGTATGCCCTGATGATCAGATCGTTCTCTCTTCGTATGCCCTGATGATCAGATCGTTCTCTCTTGTTTCAATCACCCTCTGCGGCCCATCCTCTCCTCCATGGCCTCCCATCCTCTCCTCCATGGCCTCCCCATCCTCTCCTCCATGGCCTCCCATCTGCGCTGACCACCATGCCTCCATCCTGCATTGCTTTTGACGCAGCAACATGTGTATTCCGTCGTTGCTGCCAGCTTCCTCCCTGCCACACCCGCTCCTCACTCGCTGTGACCGCTACGCACTCCCTCGTGCCGCCCCTCCCCCCCCACCAGGTGGTGCGGGACTTCAAGGCGCCAGAGGGCAGCAGTGCGGGCGACATGGACGCGGCGGGCGATGGCGAGGCGCTGGTGGTGCTGGACCTGCGGCCCGACACCGAGCTACTGGGAGGCAGGCGCCGCCAGGGAGGTGAGGGATGAGGGCGGCCTGTGAGCGGTGCTGTGTGCTTGAGTCTCGTGCCTTCAATTGCATGTCCCTTTTAACCCACCCATTCCCATTTCAACCACAGCCCTTCCCATTGCTGTCACCCAATTAGCCCACTGCTGCTTGTCCCTCCATCCAATGGCCTACAGGCTTTCTTCCCACGCCCCTGGCGCCTCCCTTCAACCTCTCACCCCTATCAACTCGGCCCTTTCTTGCTTAACCCGAAGCCGTAGCTGCTGCTGACTGAAGGCAAGGTGGGGCATCTAACATTCGACAACTCACTTCAATGGCTACTGTCCCCATCCCCACCCCAACCCCCCCTCCATCCCACCATCCCACCCAACCCCCCCCCCCCCCCCCCCCCTCCCTCCTCCCTCCCCCCCCCCAGGTGGTGAACCGCGTGCAGAAGCTGCGCAAGCGGGCGGGGCTGGAGCCCACGGACGCCGTGGAGGTGTTCGTCCACCTGCACGGCGAGGGCGAGGGGGAGGGGGAGGGGATAAAGCGTCGCATGGGGGGTCAGTGACGGTGGCGTGGGGAGCAAGGGCAAGGAGGGCGCTGAGGAGTCGCCGCTGCAGCGCATTCTGGTGTCCCAGGTACTCCATTGGCAGCAGCAGATTGGCTGGAGGCCCGTGTGACCTTTTGCACCTGCTGCCAGAGCCATGCCCCTCTCCCCCCGTGCCCGTCCTCCACTCTTCCATCCCCCCCTCCCCCACTCTCCTCCCCCAGCACTCCGCCCTCCCTCCTGTCTCTGTTGCGCTCCCTATCCCCCCTATTCCACAGTGTTCAAACTTCCCGTTGGTCTGCCCCTGCTCACTCGCCCCTCTTCCCCTGCCAGGCGGCGTACATCCACGATGCCCTGGGAGCGCCACTTCTGTCCGCCGACTACTGCCCCTCACATGCCGTATGTGCCCCTCCCATGCCGTGTGTGCCCCTCACATGCCCTATGTGCCCCTCACATGCCCTATGTGCCCCTCACATGCTGTGTGTGCCCCTCACATGCCGTGTGTGCCCCTCACATGCCCTATGTGCCCCTCACATGCTGTGTGTACCCCTCACATGCCGTGTGTGCCCCTCTCGTGCCGTGTGTGCGCCTCCCATGCCGTATGTTGTGTGCAGCAAGTGCCATGCCTGTCATGTCTCGCACCTCCCCCGCCCCTTGGAGGAATCCTTCTGCCCTCTTGCTGCGACAATTGTCCTCCTCCCGCCAACTCACAGCCCTGCCTCTCCGCCTTCTTCGTCCTGTCACCCCCACCTCCCCCTCTCCCCCAGGTGGTGCTGGCGTCGGAGCGCTACAGCGGAGTGGCGGGGGCGTCCTTCACGCTCACTCTCACGCGCCCCGCGCTCTGCTTCTCGCCCTCCCTCGCTGTCAACGCCTGCAATGGTGTGTGCTCTTCAATGCACCAGATGTGCTCTTGAATGCACCAGATGTGCTCTTGAATGCACCAGATGTGCTCTTGAATGCACCAGATGTGCTCTTGAATGCACCAGATGTGCTCTTGAATTCACCAGATGTGCTCTTGAATGCACCAGATGTGCTCTTGAATGCGCCTGATGTGCTCTTGAATGCACCAGATGTGCTCTTGAATGCGCCAGATGTGCTCTTGAATGCGCCTGATGTGCTCTTGAATGCACCAGATGTGCTCTTGAATGCACCAGATGTGCTCTTGAATGCACCTGATGTGCTCTTGAATGCGCCTGATGTGCTCTTGAATGCACCTGATGTGCTCTTGAATGCGCCTGATGTGCTCTTGAATGCGCATGGTGCTCTTGCGTGTTTTTGCCTCTGGGGGTCTTCATGGCACGTGCCGTCGCCGGCCATCCATGAGTTGTCCTGTCAGTAAGCACATGGCTTTTGTGTATACCATCAATTCAACATCACCCTAGTGCTGTCTGCTCTGCGCTTTTCTCTGGTGCCCATCCCTTTTTTTTACTTCTATTCCAACCGTTTCTTGTCTGTTTAACTGCTGGCCACACATTGAGCCGTGCGAGTGATGAGCCCACCCAAACACACAACATGGAGTCAGTTGCAGCAGTCAAGGTATGCGTGTTGCCGCCAAACTCCGCCCGTCTCTCCCTCTCCATGCATGGCCCTTCACATGCTGCCCTCACGCAGGCAACGCCGAGGCAGCCACCGCAGTGCAGGTGGTGCTGATGGCTCGAGACCCCGCCAAGCTCCGGGCCGAGATGGCAGCAGCAGGGGGGAAGGTGAGCTGGTGGCCCACCATTTTGTGTGCGTGTGCCTGAACTTGGTGCGTGTGCCTGAACATGTGCGTTGTGCCTGAACATGTGCGTGTGCCTGAACATGTGCGTGTGCCTGAACATGTGCGTGTGCCTGAACATGTGCGTGGTGCCTGAACATGTGCGTGTGCCTGAACATGTGCGTGTGCCTGAACATGTGCGTGTGCCTGAACATGTGCGTGTGCCTGAACATGTGCGTGTGCCTGAACATGTGCGTGTGCCTGAACATGTGCGTGTGCCTGAACATGTGCGTGTGCCTGAACATGTGCGTGTGCCTGAACATGTGCATGTGCCTGAACATGTGCGTGTGCCTGAACATGTGCGTGTCCGAGTGTGTGGAAACTCTGTGGGGGAGAGGGAAGGGATGCATGCTTGCAGCTGCACCACTGTCTGTGGGCTGTCAGCCTTGCTGCTGTGGGCTTCTGCCAATCCTGAATCTTGCCCAATTGCTCTCCACCATCTCCTTGCACCCCCCACCAGGTGCATGTGGCGGTGGACGGCATGGGCGAGTGGGACATGGTGCAGGGCGCGCACCTCTTCCTCTCCGTCAACGACTTCCTTGAGGCGAACCCTGCCACGCGCCCCTGATGGCCCGCCCGCCCTGCCAATCAGCCACCCTGCCACGTGCCCATGGCATCCCACCCCACCTGCGAGCTTGCCAGGGGGCTGTCTCCACATCAAGAAATGGCAGCACCTTCCAAGAGCAGTAGCCTTAGCATTATGTGCTGTGGATCAACCATACATCGCAGAAGTTTAACATAGAGCAGTTGAAGTCATATTCAAGTTGAAAGCATGTCATGACAGGACATGTTTCTGGTGCAAAAGATATCAAGAAAATGTTAGAATGTTGAGAGAAAATTGGACTAAGGGAGGAAGGCTGAGGGTTACAAAGGTGGGAATTGTTGGAAATATCTCAAAGGACTTAAGCGTTTCTGAAGTATAACACTGTACTCGAGGAAGATTACAGGGGGGGGGCACGCGAGTCAACGGAGGTTACACGAGGGGGCGGACAAAGAATGCAAAAAGACTCGAAAGGTCGCAACTAGAGGTTACGACTGACCGTTACAACATCACGGATGGTAACCGAAGCGGCAATCGAGTCGCTGTGCGACTCGATAAACCGTTCCTGTAACTGTATTCTACAACTGCTTTCTTATCTTCTATATATTGCTGTATGCTTGTTTCTTTCATCAATCACTTGTTCTCATATACTAGTACAAGGGTTCAACTACTCAACTTCCGCTGCACTACTCAAGTCTTCCTTTACATCTGGGACTTAGTCTCTGAAAGATCTTAAGGGCTTTTTCTCAGCCCAATATGGTATGAGAGCTGGTTAGAGACCAAACTCCCAGCAACTGCGCTCCATCAACCTACAACTCAACTCAATTCAACGACTTCATTGATCACAAGACATGGACAGCAAGGGCAAGAAAGTCTCTACGGGCTCACCCAGCGGCCAAGAAAACTCAACACGGCAACTCTCGTCTGCACACCTCAGGACTGCAGACAGAGACCGGGACTGCTCAAGAAACAACGGGAAGAGTACCAGAGATGGTGACTCCATCTCCCTCTTCAAGCGTGGACCCCAACCTTATGGAAAGGTTCTTCAGCTTCATGTCGCACTTCGACCAGCAGCAGCAGACAAGGACACCTGCGCATTCAACACAGAGCAATGGAGGAAACATGGGGATTAGCGCCGATGAGCCTCGACAACTCATCGTTTGGGCGACACAATCAAGCGCCTACCTTTGCGCCTTATCACTCTTCACCGGGGACGTTCGAGTTCATGCCGCCCCGTGCCCAACCAACAGCAGCTGCATCACAACAAACACCAAACGAAATCTTAAGTCTCCAGGCGCAGTTTTCACACGTGATAAAACTACAGACATCCTCACCGTTCAACGGACACGACTTCTTTACCTGGAGCTTTGAGTTCGAGCTGCTGATGGAGGCTGCGCATCTCTTGGGATACTTCAACGGGTTCCCTGCCATTCCCAAGCAACGGCACTGGAAAGGAACAAGAAATCTTCACGTATCAGTCGCTGCTGGCGTATACGGTTCTCCTGAGAAACCTGTCACCACAAGAACAGCAGAGCATCAGAACATACAGGAGCTATGGAAACTCCGCGGAACTCGCATGGCACCATCTCAAGTGCCTCTATCAAGCAAACGACAGCGTGACACAAAGCAGACTCATGCAACAACTGACAACAATACAAATGAAGACCGGGGAAAAGGCGATGCAGTATATGAGTCGCTACCAGACCCTCCGCGACCGCCTGCTTCGGTGCGGAGGAACAATCACTGAAGAAAGCTTCGTGACGCTTGTCCTCGCCGGGCTCGGGCCAGAATGGAGAACCACACGATCGCTTCTTCGCGCCCACGGAAGGATTTCGGAGATGCACCTCTGCGCTGAGCTTCACGCTGAACAACAGGAGATGGACCTGTTCGAAGAAAGACAACCAAGGAAGCACAGCAGTTAGTCTTCTACACTCAACGAAGAAACGACAACACTACAATCGACGCGGCAAGCAAGAACGCGACAACAGGGACTCACCTTCGTGCCGCCGTTCTGCCACAACTGCCAGACTTCCGGGCACTCCAAGGTCAACTGCAACCGCCCTCGCGTTTACCGTCCAGCAGACCCACAAGTCGCTTCCACTCAAGCAAGTCCCCAAGGCGCTCTTCAACATCTGCACAAAACACCAAACATTCATCAACTGCATGGTACACATCGACAACTGCGCACCCGGATCACCACCCACTTACGCCAGACGAAGAAGATTCCCGCCGCCGCGCTCACAAGGACTTCAGTCAACCCGACATACGCTGCGGTCGCCAACGCCGAACCCACCGGGCGAAACACCTGGTTCTTGGACAGCTGCTGCGGTCAACACATGTGCTCCTCGGGACGCTTCGTGCAACAGGAGAAACGCCTCAACCGCGACGTCGTCATCACCGTCGCCAACAACGAAAACCTGAAAACAAACAGACAAGGCGTGGTTCAGTTACAATCCATGGAGACAAACATACTTCAGCTCAACAAAGTCCTCATTGTCGACAACTGGGATACAACCTACTAAGCGTAAGCCAACTAATGGCCAAGGGGATTCACCTGGAGTGCGACTCCTACTCCAACGAGTTTCGGCTTTACCACGGGAAGGGCGGCCTCTTCATCGGTCGTGCCCTCCTGAAGTCCGGCGTCTTCGTGTTGGACTTCGTCCCCGACCGCGGTACTGCCGACAGCGACGGCATCGTATCGTTCGCCGCCTGGACACACCCGCCGGATCTTGATCCCGACTTCGACAGTGACGGCTTCTGGCACTCCAACACCATACCTGCAGCAGAAGAACACGAGCATTAGCAGTTATCAGACAAGAAAGACAAGTACCCGCAAGTATCCCAACCAAACCATCACCTGCAGTAGCAGCAGCAGGACCCAGCCGAGTACCACCACCGCAATCCGAGGACCGCCAACCGAAGCAGACCAACTTATGCCCATCACACGAGAAGTTGTCGAAGTCCCGCCACAGTCGTCGCGTTCTTCTCCAACGCCGACATATACCACCGCTCGCCGGTCATCGCGCTCCGACGACATCTGGCACCAACGCCTCGGACATCCTGCAAACAGCACGATACTACAAACAATCCAAGCAAGGTGTTAGAACGCAACGCCCTCTAACGACGAGCGGCCAAGAACTTCGACGACCACGAGCACGGTGCTTCACGTGCCCCGAAGCAGATCTTCCTCATCAACCTTTTCCATCCATCACAACCCAAGCGCACCTACTTACGCTCCGATGGAAAAAGTCTACAGCGATATTTTAAACATGCCTCGAGAGACACCGAAGCCGACTTCAACTACGTCATCACGTTCATCGACGCAGCAACCAGATACGTCTGGCACTTCAATCTCAAGACGCGCGATCAAGCCTTCGAGCCTTCACACATGGCTCCCATCGCCGAACGAGAATCAGGAACCAAGCTCAAGAGCTTCCAGTCAGACGGTGCACTGGAATACCAGTCACAACGCTTCAGGACCTATCTGGCGGAAAGAGGAATCAGACGCCTGGTGTCTCTGCCCTATGCTCACCAGCAGCAGGGGGTCGCAGAACGCATGAACCGGACCTTGCAGACGACGATGCGAAAACTGCTCTGGGGATGACTGCCCACCACACTGTGGCCAGACGCGATGACACATGCAGTCCACCTGCACAACCTGCTGTCCTCGTCATCGCTTCCCAACAACGCATCACCGCACCTGTTGTGGACAAGAAAAAGGGGCAGCACAAAATTACTCGAGTTTTCGGCTGCATGGTACAGTACAGACCCCACACAGCCCGAGCAGGACGCTTCACACAACGAGCTCGGTGGGGACTACACCTCGGCATCGCCAAACATTTTCACGCGTGGAAAATTCTCGACATACAAGACAAAAATACGGTGGCATCACGTGATGTTATCTTCTACGAGCGACTGACGCTGCAGCATTACCTGGACAACATTGCCAAACACAAGACCCCACCGACGGCTTCTCGGGACTTCGTTCCTTCGCCGACCGTGCTGCCGAAGCTGACGCAGCAGAAGAAGACGTACCTGGAGCCTCGGAAGCTGCCGGACCACTCCCATTCTGTTCCGTACCTGTTCCACTCGACGAAGACAATCCTCTCGATAGCAACAACCTCGACACCTTTTACCACTTCGCTGACCAAGGTTACTTACACCCCACCCGTCGACACAAATGTTTCAGAACGCATCGGCCCAACTTCTTACCTGACCCAGAAGACGGTGACGAAGCAGCTTATTCCGGGAATGAAAATTCCCCTCGACACACACCCACGGGACTGCAGATTCTAGGCCTCTGGGTCTCCGTCCAGCATCCGCCGCCGCCTTCTCCGCGAGAGCCTTCGACCTGTCGCAGGCTCTGGGGGGGAACATAAGGCAAATGGAAGGAAGCGATGGAAAAGGAGTTAAAAGCTCTGCAAGACCGAAAACATGGAAACTGGTACCTGCAACAAGCATCAACAAAAACGTTCTCTCGGGGAAATGGGTGTACCGCATCAAGACCAACTCAGACGGCTCCATCGAACGATTCAAAGCTCGATGGGTCGTACGAGGCTTCGATCAACGATACGGAACCGACTACACAGAAACCTTCGCTCCAGTCTCCCGTCACACCTCATTACGCATCCTACTCGCCGTCGCGGCCACGAAGACATACCACTACGCCAAATCGACGTCGCGAATGCGTTCCTATACGCACCTGTGGACGCCGAGATCTTCGTCGAACAACCCCACGGATTCATCGACGACCCCACGAAAGTATGCCACTGACAAAATCCCTATACGGGATCAAGCAAGCCCCGCGGCTCTGGCAGCAGCATCTTCACGGCCGTCTCGTAAAAATCGGATTCCTACAGCTGCCGCATGACCAAGGATGTACCGACTGCAGAAGGGAAGAGAGTATTCCTACTCATCGTCTACGTCGACGACCTGCTCTACATCGGCTCCACTACCGACATCGCCACCTGGTTCGAAGGGGAGCTGAAAAAGACTTAACACTCACGGTGTCCGACGAAGTGACCCAGTACCTAGGACTGAATGTCGTCGAAGACAACTCGGCGTTCTACCTACACGCTGGAAAGTACGCAGCACCGTCGCGAAGAAATTCGGTCTAACACCGACTACGGTCCCAACTCCCTACCGCTACGGGAACAACAACAGCACCTCCGCAAAACTCCCCGCGAAGCAAATCCAGGAGTATCAACAGAAGCTCGGCTGCCTACTATTCGCAGCAGTAACCTGCCGACCCGACCTGTCCTATAGTGCGAGTCAACTGGCGACGCATCTGAAGCACCGGAACAGGAAGATCTCGAGGACTCAATCGGGCACTACTCTACTTCGTCTCCACGCCGACGATCG